AGGGCACACTTCATATACGCCAATGTCATGAAAAACACCAGTAGATAGTCTTTATTCCCTTCAGCTATGAGGAGTTTGGAGCAAACTCAGCAACCCTGGTTGAGTGCAGCATCTTGCTGGAGTCCCAGGAGTCACCCACATAAGCTGCTGTGCGATGGTGGGGCCTGGCCCCATACTTGTATTCCTGGGGTAACAGCAGCGCTGAACACTCACACACAAGGTCTAGGGGGGCACAGAACTGAATTTAGCAATTTGTTCCACCATCTTCACTCAGGCAAAGCCTTTGGTGATTTATAGCAGTGTGGCAAGAGGGCCTAAACTGTAGCCTTGTTTAAACGTTCACATGCAGTTTTTTTTCCTGGAGCTCTGAATAAAGTGTCATCACGCTTCTCAGCAGGGAAAAATTTCTGGATAAGCTTTTCAGAGAAGCTGAAGAAATGCTTTCCAGTCACACAGTGTTAAGTCCGGCTTCAGTTTTGCTAGCAGAGCTGCCTTTTGCAGCCACGTTTTCAGTCTCTCCCCACTTTCCTCACTCTCCAGAGAGGGGTCACTGCCCTGTGATGCTGGATGGGCCCCAAAGAAAGGCTGCTTCCTAAGCTGGCCTTCACTTTTAGCAGTGGCAAAGTGCCGTATAAAGAAGACCCAAGGAAGCCATGCAGAGCCAAATTTACATAGCAACAGGGAGTGGAGATGGGGAATAAGGTCATCTGCTAGGAAGTGGCAAGAGAACAACAGTGTTATTTCCTTACTTCTTCCTCTCATATACCTTTCCTGTATCTCCCTCCAACTGACCAAGTCCATGAGAATCATCCTGTTTTTCACTGTGAAAACAAAGAGGAGCTGATTTAGGAAACATGAGACAATGAGGGAGTAATGGAGAAAGGAGAGAGCGTAATAGAATGAAAGAGAAGTATGAAAGAAGCTTAGGAAAAGGTCTGTGGAAGAACAGAAGGCATAGAAGGAAGAGCAGCATTAAAAAAGCATAAGAAAGTGAATGGGGAAAGAGAATTATGACAACAGCAACAACAAACAGGAAGAGTTGTAAGACATTTTGAAGGTGGCCTTAGGGTGGTTTGAAAGGGGGTGAGTGGGAAAGAGGAAACGCGAGGGGAATCAGCACAATGAGCTACACGATGTTATTGCACAGAAAATGGAAAGCAAAATGCTAACGTGCACCCTGAAACTGAGGGGAACCTTGGCCTTACCAGAGCAAAAGGAACATGGATACTGTGGGACACAATTTCACCCCTTTGTGTTAAAGACACAGATGGGTCACGTGAGAAAGCTCTGATCGCTCCTGAGGGTACAGTTTTCCTCCCTGGTATTTCCATAGTTTCTGAAGGAATTCAGTACCTCACACTCCTACATTATAACATGAAGCAGGTTGTGATTTTTTTAGCTGCAAAGGGGCTATACTCCCCTAGACACTTCAAGCCTGTCCCTACAGGCATAAAGGATTTATTCTTCCTTTTACAAATTACTTTACCAGCTGAGGAACTGCAAGAGCTGCCAAACCCCTCAGAAGCTGGAGACCTCTGCCCCATCCCAGCAAGGACTGAAATGAAGGGAAA